TGCCATTTCAGAGAATTTATTACTGATTAATTCGCTGGAATAGCGCTCAGATATTAAATTGAGGCCTAATGTTGCGCAATATTTTTCGTTTATTGTTATGGAAATGCATTTTTTCATTATACTTTGAACTTCCTCCACAGAATCTTTAGTCTTTTAGGATCCTAAAAAATTGCCTCTTAATTGCAATTGAGGCAGATATGATGTTTAGATAAAGGAAGTCATACGCTGTGTCAAAAAAGGCGTTTGTTTTCTCTTGGTGAAAAAAAAATATGTCAAAGTTTATAAATGTTTATGATACACTAAAAATTAGATTCCGTTAAAAATTAATCTAACTTAAGGCTTAACATGTTATGGCAAAGATGTTCTTCTGTTTCGTTGGTGGTTAATATCATATCAGGAAAATGTTAATTTTTCTTCTTTTCTTTTTGATAACAGGTGAGTCGGTATTTGTTTTTTCGCGTATGTGAAATTTAAACAAAATTATCAGAAATTTTTAACTCGGTTTAATTTAAATAGCCGCAGGTAATTAACAGATATGTTTGAAGTTGGAAAACATGTATACAGATATTGCCCACCTACGGGAATGACCTGAATTGTACGCAAAATTGGCTCGAAAGTTTTCCTTTTCACCCTAATTCGGAATGATAATGTTCAATAACATGTTTATGTCAGGAGAGGAACTGCTTCCATTTTCTCATAAATACCTTTCTTAGGTTACGAGACATGAATGTTAATAAGGAAACTGTTAACTTATCTTATTTAGTTTTACAAGGCATTTCTACGGCGCTTAGCTTTTAAGTTCCGCGCAAAGCAGAATAATTGCCACTCTGGTAAATTCCTTTATTTGTGAGAGTCGAAATTTTGCTAGTGATACGCCTCGCAAAACTATTCTGGGTGAAAGGAAGATAGAAGTTCGCCATGTTTTTTTAATGAGGAAAGGTGTAAGTACATTAAGGGCCCACAACTTCTCTTAACATATTAAAATATACTATCCTACAACTGTAAAAGATTAAACAGAAACGTTTGGATGTGGTAAAATCGTGGTTTGGATTACTCTGTCCTTGAGTAAATAACTGGCCCATAATGTCAAAGAGCAAACAGCGGTAAATGCTAACGTGCTAGTTCCATCATGAAATTTAAAAGCCGCCATCTGTAGCTTACAGCAGACGATGCAAACACAATAACAATGACACCGTTGCTTTATTTTCTGTCAATCGTGCTTTTTTTTTTGTTTTTTTGCTTTTTGAAAGAATTGATTTCTCAGTTTTCATTTTTTCAAAGAACATACTTGAATAACCAACCTTGTAACCAGGCAATCTTGGGTATCATTGAACACAGATCCAGTAACAGAAAACAGATCCAAGTGAAAGACATGGCACAAAGTCATACAGACATGGAGTTGTACAAACTGAATGTTTCCCAGCTGTACTACGCATGAATAAAGGAGTAAAGAAACTGTGGTGCTGCGCCGGTGGGAGACTATAGCAGGTAATTTAGTGTTAACAACTGAGTTGAAAACGTAAATTAGCCACCGTAAAGGGTAAAAAAGCTGTCGTTTCGAGCGTTAGTCCTTCGTCAGAGCTGTACTACGCATGAGATAAGCTTCAGTTAAATTCCTAGTTACCTTTTAACCAATAGCTGTCGAGAGTTCTGTCTATTTGCCTTTTACGGTACAATTTCGTTAAACATGAAGCCTATGCAAGGTATGAAATAAATATGAGGAAAATTTAAATATATTTTTAATAGAATACCAAGGCGTTTAAACTCCGTTTCCATGGCCAGTTTTGCTCAATAAAGGCTGTAAGGATGAAAGGCCATCAATTGTTAAGGTTATTTCTCCTGCTATTTCACACATAACCACCGTTATCGAACTAATACAAAGTTGTTTAAAATTACCATCCTATACTCATTTGTGAGAGTCGTAATAATGTTGTTTTGGCCTTGCACAAATTACAGGCCCATAATGTCAAAGAGCAAACAGCGGTTAATGCTAACGTGCTATTTCCACGAGGAAATTGAAAAGCCGCCACCTGTAGCTTGCAGCAGACACTGAAAACACAATAACGATGACACCGTTACTTTATTTTCTGTCAATCGCGCTTTTTATTTTTTATTTTATTTAATGATACAGTTTTGTTAAACAATAAGTCCATACAAGGTATTAAATAAATATAAGGAAACTTTAAAAATATTTTTTAAAAGAACACCAAGGCGTTTAAACTCCGTTTAACACAACGACTATAACACTGTGTAAATGAACAAATTGACAAGAACACGAACATATCTGCTTTACAAAGCTGAGCAGATATTTTTTTCCTTCACGTTCTGAATGGCAATGTATATTTATTGGTGAGTGTTCCGATATGTCTTAGTTATGTGTTAAGTTATTTGAATAACGGTATATAAGTGTTGAGTAATAAAAATTGAGAGTTGGTCCGTCGGGTCTGTGAACACCGCCACACAGGCAGTTAATTTTAAGATGGACGAGCTTTTAGCATCTCGCCTCACAAACGCAGCAGATGATGGTGTAGCCATATTGGATCCATCGCGATCCATCCATTATTCAAGTTTGCCAAATTTTGTTTGTTCAAAGTTTTTCTGTAAATAACGGCACTGCAGTTGACTAAGCCGTAAAGAAGGCTCGTCGTGAGAACTACACCTACGTCTGTAAGGGCGACTAACAGCAACTTGATCATTAGTTTTCAAGTCCTCGATAAGAGGCATGACGCTTCGAACGCCCTGAAAAGTAGTTCCTTAGAGAGAGCGAAACGCGCCCCAGGAGAAGGTACTACTCTAATATCGAAAAATATAAAGGCCATAAAGCTATCTGATAAGAGCGAGTTTCGTTGGCAAGTTATGGTCAACGAACATCCATCTGACAATGACGAAAAGAAAATGTCTCGAGTAAAGAGGAAAGCCGTTTAGGATAGGCTTCGTTGGCAGCAACGAGTCCGTTCTTTTCGAAAACCATCAAGGTCAGCAGCAAAGCACTTCGATATGATTTGTAGGATCTTGCAGTCATTTTGCGTATAACGTTAAAACATAATTTTTACTTCTCAACATTTCATTCAGATTATTCATTGCCTGGGATCCTTGGTCTTCAACGTACGTACACAACCATAACCTCAGCAGCGCTTCCGACGTCGGCTTCAGAAAAGAATATAATACAAAAAAAAACTACAAATAAATAATACATAGTAAACTATTTATTGAGATCTCATTAAATAGACTATTAAAATAATGCGTAATCCATAATTAGAGATAGATGGAGCAGAAAACATATAAGAAGTTGGCAAAAGTGACCTTTTCCGAGTGAAACCGGTTTTAGAGCACCGGCCTTTTATTCATCGGAGAGGTTAAATTTCAGATGACTCGTGCATTTATTTCAGTTCTCCTCTCAATTTCCTACCGAGATTTTGCCCAGTAATTAACTATTGCACTCAAACTGTAACACCCAGATGAAATAAATAGAGGAGGGCGTCTTAAAATGTCACTATTATGAAAGGTCGATATGGCAATCTGACGAGTACTCTGTATTTGACACGGTGTAATACCCCCCCCCCCCCTTTCCTCCCCTTTGAAAACATCTAGGTCACGCCCCTGAAGAAGAAAAGGAAATTGCCCAGTTATCCAAGAAGGAGTCGACTAGGTCAGTTCAACGATTATCTCGGCAAAACAGAATGGTTATTCCATACCGTTTTATCACTTTGATAAAAAAAAGAATAAATGAATGAATGAAATGAAACAAACAAACAAACAAAAGCAGTAATAGAGGTATTCCAAGACTTCTTAAATCAATTTTTACCATAACAGAAGTATTTCAAGATTTTTAAAATCAATTTCTACCTTGGCTATTATTCCATGTGATTTTATGAGTTTTCTTGCTGTATAGAATTGCCGGCACAGGGTGAAATCTCTCCCAGGCACAGTAAAGTCCTCCGATTTTAAACCACCCAACATCATTAGGGCATCCTGTGTACTTAGCTGTAATTTCAAAGTTTCGTGTACCGTAATGGTCATTGATGCGAAAGGGTTTTAAAGTTGTCGCATTCTTAAGATCTGTCCATGGTGATTGAAGTAGATTATTTTGTGTAAACCAGTCCACGTTAGTTGTTCCTCTGGCATTGAACTTCATAGACGTAACTTCTGCTCCATTCTTGTAAAGCACTACACGGACCTAAAGTCATACAAGAAAATGATCTGTTGTCTACATGTCAAATACATGAGTATGCGGTAAGATAAGAATCGTTACATCGGGAAATTTAAAGAATTGTTAGTCAAATTTTGATTGTCTTTTTAAAAACTTATTTCGAAGGATTCCGACAGTTTATCAATCAATATCAATCAATCAATACCACATAACAT